GGCCACCATGATTTGCTACCGAGCGAATGGGCGATTGGGGGTCGATACTTCCCCCCCTGGTCCTGGGCCCCCCTAGGATCACTCCGCAGAAATTGCGAGGCGGGGGTATACCGCGAGTTCGTGTCGGGTCGACCTCGGCGTTGGTTCCTGACACTGCGGGGATCGTTCGAACCTCGAGCGATCGCCCGTTCCCGAAAAGCCCGATCGTTTAACATCGACCGGTTCTGGGTCGCTGGCGGCGTTCCACGTTGAACGCCGACGGCGGGGTCGCCGCCAGTCGACACGGCACGACGCGAACCTGCCGTACCCACGTCCACCGCCCAGGGAATCGACGTCCTGGGATCCTGGCGGGGGGGGTATGGATGTACAGTGGAGGCCAGTCCACAAGAAACCTTCCGCAAGAAACCCAACACTGAGACCCCAGGACGTCCATCGATTTCTGGTGTAGGAACGCCACGCTGCCCACAGCAAATCCATCGAAACCACCGAAACCCAGGGCGCCCTGGAGGCAAGCGGGGTGTTTCTTGGCATGGGCCTCCACCGTATTTCGGCCCCAGGGGGCCCGACCTCACCCTGTGCACCGCCCGCCTCGAGGCTCTCGGAGCTCGATCCTCCGGGCGGTGGTTTTGCGGACCAGTCCCCGCCGGGGGGTCGGTGCGCTCTCGGCTCCCCTTGCGGGGGGGGGCGCCCCCACAACCAGCCTCGAACGTATCCCTATCCCTAAGATGGGCGAGCAAAAAGCTGAGGGAATCCTTAAAAAACTGAGGGATAGGCCCTCAAAAACTGAGGGAATCCGTAAGATCGGCATCGAGGTGAGGTGATGTCAAACATAGGGATAGGGATATGTTCCAGGCTGGTAACCCCACCCTCCCTGGCGCCCCAGCGCCGTGACATCTGCGTGGAACCTCGACTGCTGGGCAATCCTTGGGGTCGACTCCCTCGCCTCGGGACCGGCTGCGTTTTCTTGGAGAGCGAGGCTCGCGCTCGAGCGTTTCGGGCTTCCGCCGAAGCCGCTCCCTCCCCCCAGACGAGCGGAGACAGCAACACCCGCTTTGTGATGCTGCTCGCTCTTCGCTGCTCGCCTGTCGCTCAGCAGGTGCCCGTCGCGGTCGGATGAAGCAGACAGAGACATGAAGCAGAAAGGCGCTGGAAAGTAGTCTGGGCTTCCGCCCGCCCCCTGAAGAGGAGGGACGAGGAAACGCAGCCCGATCCTTCAAGACAAGAAAAGGGCGCCTAAAGCAGACTGGGATCCGAACATCCCCTAACGAATACCTACTTTCAGCGACTGGCGTGTATGTTCCACGCACTCGGTACGCGTCCTCTTGGTTTTCGATTGTGCCCCTTTGGGGGTGATGTCTTCCTTGCCTGCCACGTGAAATGGGGCGTGGCTTCGAGAACAAGAGAGGAGGGGGCACGAGACGGGAGAGAGCGAGGACATGAGAGGGCAACGAGCAAGGAAGGGGGCACGAGGGAGGGAGGAGGATTGTGGGCGAAGAAGACGTACCAGGAGTGAAACAGCAGCGAGAGGAACAATCCGCCGACCCCGTCGGCGTGTGTGTGAGGGGCTTGCCCGTTCGGGTCGGTCTCTGTCGCCCACTTTCCCTGCGCCCCTCCCTTTCCCTGGCCCCGTCGCCGCTTTCCCCCCCCCCTTCTCTGGGCCCTCCTCTTCAAGCGCTGGGCCCGTCGCCGCTCCCCCCCTCTTCCCTGAGCCCTCCTCCTCCAGCGCGCCAGCCAGAGCGAAGACGAGCAACGTCGTAATTGAGTCGAGAGGGAGCCTCTTCCCTTTGATCCCTCCCCCGCTGTGGGGGGGGGTCCCAAGCGGGGTCCGGGAGTGGGGGGGTCCCGGGTGGGGTATCGGGTCAGATACGACTCCCCCCCGGGGGGTCCTGGGGCCCAAACAAGCTCCAAGACGGGCCAAGAATGCTCCAAGAGGCCCCCAAGACGGTCCAAGAGGGCCCCGAATCGCCGAACGATCTGTTCTCAAGACGCCTTGACGGCCTCCAGACGGCCAAGAGGCCTCCAGGAGCACTCCCAAGAGGGCCCCAAGAGGACAAATCACTGATTTCTTATTTGAAACGTTTCAACGTTCTCGCCTCTTCCGCTTTCTGGCGCTCCAAGACGGCCCAAGAGGCACCCCAGATTGCCCCAAGACAGCCCAATAAAGCTCCAGGAGGGACCCCAAAACGGCCCAATAGGGCCACAAGACGGCCCAAGACGGCCCAAGAGGCCCCCAAGACGGCTCCAAGAGGGTGTCCAGACGAGGGACCAGAGCGGACATTTCGAGCCCTCGGCCCCGAGAGGCTCCCAGGAGGAACCAAAAAGGCCCCAAAGGCCCCAAAGGGGCCCCCAGGAAGCCCCGAGAGGCTCCCAAGAGGCTCCCAAGAGGCCCCCAGGAGGCTCCCAAGAGGCCCCCAAACTGTCTCCCGAAAGGCCGCCGAGAGCGCGTCGAAGAGACCCCAGGAAAGCATCCGTGAGGACTCCGGCCCACGTCAGCGCCGTCGCCGCCGCCGCCGCCGCCGTTGCCGTCGTTCCCCACTCAGCGTCGGCGGCACCGGCCGTGAGGCCCTCGCCATAACCTTGGCAAGCGGGCCCTGGCGGGCGGGCCCTGGCGGGCGGGCCCTGGCGGGCGGGTCGGGCGAGCGGGCCCCCGCGGGCGGGCCCTGGCGGGACTCTGAGGCGGGCGGGCTCCCACCCGCCGAGCGGGCGGACGCCATCACTGGGCGGGGCGGGCGGGCCCTGCTGCGGGTGGGTCGCGGGCGGGCCGGGCGGGGCACCGAAGCGGGCGGGCAGGGCTCCCAACTGGCGAAGGAGCGGGTGCTGTGGCGGGCGGGTGGGGCAGGCGGGTCCGCACGGGTGGGTCGGGCGGTCGGGCCGCAGCAGGCGGAGAGTCGAAGCAATCTGTTGAAAGTTTGGAGCTGTCAGTGGGCGTCAGGCAAGATCACGACTCCGGCGCAGCTTGTGAGGACGTCTAGCGCGAGAGCGTGCTTCCTGGACGCAGAGGGCGCGAGAGCGCCCGAGGAAACTGCGGGGAAGTCCAAGGCGAGACCGCGAGCCTCGTGTACCTTGCGACAGAATCTCTGGCGCGAAGGAGATCCTTGAATAAATGGTGCAGAATCCTCGATCAGGAACGGTTGTTTTTGTAGCCCGAAGGTCCAACCACATTGGGCCGAGAAATTTCCTCTGACAAAAAACATGGTGCCAGCCTCGGGGGAAGTGCGTTTCAATCAACAAAAACACATCTACCAGCGTGGACCCAAAACAATAAGTCATTCCGCGTTGGATGTGTGCGCTCTGTGGTGCAAGCTATGTGGTCAAAGCTATGTGGTGCAAACATATGGTGTAAGGTATAAGCTGTATGATGCAAGCTATGTAGCGCAAGCTATGTGGTGCAAGCCATGTGGTTCAATTCACGTGGTGCAACAACAACAACAACAACAACGGCTCCCGCCTGCGATTTCCGCACAAGTCATTGAAGGATCGCGCTCGCACCAGAGAGCTCCTCGCAACTGACTCGAAGCTCGCGCTCTCGACTGAGACTTCTCCGCAATTTCCTCGAGCACTGCGCTCTCGACGTCCAGGACACGCGCTCTCGCGCTAGACGTCCTCAAATTTTGCTCAGGAATCATAATCTCGCCTGATGCCCTCTTCCTCCTCCTCCTCCTCCTCCTCCTCCTCGCCCAATCACCATTTACAGAACTCGTTCCAACGGCCCGCCCGCCCGCCCCGCCAGCCACGGCCCGCCCGCCGGCCCCCACCCGTGAGCGTCCGCCTGCCTGCCCCGCCCGCCCCTCCGGGTTCGCTCGCTCGCCTGCGTTCAAAACCAGGCCGCCCCGCTGCGACCCGGTCGCCCGCCCCCGCCCAGTAATGGGGCAGCCCTCTGGGCTGCCTGGAAGCCCGCCTCGAGCGCCCCCGCCCGGCCCGCACGTCCGGGTCCCGCCCGCGCGGCTCGCCCGTTGTGGGGTCTGCCTGCCAATGTTCCTGCCTCTCGTTCCTCGGGCTCCTGTCGAGCCGTGCTTCGTTTCTCATCCTCGTATCTCCCACGTGCCCCCCTATCGGTTCCGCTTTCCTCCCTCGCTCCTATCTGTCTTTATATATATATATATATATATATATATATATATATATATATATGCCTTGTTCCCTTTCTTCCTCTTCCTATCTTGTGGGCCGCGCCAACTACACGTGGGGTACGATCGAACACCGGCGGTATACGTATTGAGTGGCACGCGACCGACAGCGAGCGAACGACAATACAGTGATGCTCTGCTACTCG